ATCATAATCCCCCGGGGGCAGGTACAATAGGCCAATCACTGGCCGCCGTGCCGAGTGGACCCAGTTGGACTCCACCCCCACAAACGCCGTTCCTTTTTTCCCCCTGTGTGAACCGAACAGTTTATCTGAGTATGCTCAAGACACACCGATATTATACAAATACAGGGGTGACTGGTGGGTTTGGAATTGTTTTTGTGATGTTCACGCCTGGCCCAAACAGATGTTTACTCTTTACAAAATCACATTTCTCAAAGATTTGAGGAAAAAATGTTCATCACTTTCTTAAGCCAAACAGAAACAACATATTTCAAGTGATATTCCTGATTTTAATCTTTACCAATGATTAATTACAAATGTTAAAGAACTTTCGACCCCGAAGATAGAGGCAGCACGTACCCCCGAAACGTCGGACTGTCCCAGAACCAAACGATATAATAATCCAAGAACACAATTAACAATAATTAGTATTTCCTCCGTTTCACAGGTCGTCCAGTGTCCCTTTTATCATCACACAATTCAGGAATCACTTGTGCATAACTCATTTAGATTAGAATTGACGAATTTTGTAACACAAGCAAGCAACTTACGACTTGAGTTGAATGTGAGTTTATTCTTCTGAACTGTTTGTCAACTTTTGTGTTGAGCTCAGGTCAAATTGTAGTTCATTCCCACCGCTGCCAGTATGCGGTGGTAATGTAACAGACGAAGAATCCGTACACAACACAGAACTATGTCAAATATTTTAATTAAAACTAATAGACATATAGTATATTTTATGCTAGTGGGGTCGGAACTAAGTCCCTTGTACTGCGGCCACTTCTGGCCTATTGTACCAGCCCCAGATGATAGGTGAGGGTGATTGTGGAGCAATTGGTGGAATAAAGATTGGCAGGGGAAACCGAAGTACTCGGAGAAAACCTGCCCCAGCCCCACTTTGTCAACCACATATCCCACTTGACAAGACCCGGGATCGAACCCGGGCCGCCGCGGTGGGAAGCGAGCGACTAACCGTTTGAGCTAGGGCGCGGCCCTAGGCATATAGTAACAAGAGAATGCAATGAGTTCTCCAGTATACGTACATTGGTATAGGTTTACGAGAAGGCAGGATCTTATTTATGTATGTATTATTTGTTTACAGTTTATTTAACAGCGATGTCAGTATCTCAAATGACACAATGCCGAAAAGGTAAAATAACGACTTGAAAAGGGAAATAAGTGTCAGAGTTACAGGGATTATACCGGCATCAGTCTGGAGGTACTGAGGAAAGACACGAAAACCATCAGGAAGGGTCTCTTGTTTACAATTATATTCGTCGGATCTTTAACGTCACTGTCTCAGCTTCATAGATGAAACAACATCGAATGAGATGGAAGAACAGGAGTAGTGAATAGGTAAGGATACGAAAGCAGACCATAGAGGCATACATAAATGTACAGCTCTATTCCGATATGCCCCTTGAAAGACTGGGTAAAACCAGGAAAATACTGTTCCAGGAGAACAAATATCCGATTCACTGCTCAACACCTACCTGCGGTGTAAAGACATTCAGATACAGGCAATCCTCTGACCCCGCCACCTCCACCTGCTTGGCGAAGATGCTCCTCTGGGTGCATATGGGGGCATATTGCGTCGCTTCTCGCACTCCGACCCATGACTCCGGGGGCTCTGGACTCTGAAACAAACAACCGGATGTCACACGGGCATAAAGAGATATCAGCACATCTTCTGGTGTATGCTTGTATCATAATGAACTCCCAGTTCTTGGCTCCGTCCTTCAGGGCAAGTGTATTCACTTACAATGCGATCCGAAACTTCCAAGGTGCCATCTTCAGAAACTGGTTATTAATCCGGACTAACTGGGAGCGAACCCTTATCCAAATTAATGAAAACCCGAATTATAAAAGTTCTTCTGAAAATATTTTGTGGGAAGTTATAAAATGGACTTCATGTGTCTTTTATGAAATATAACTTTATTTTTAAACTTAGATTGCATGTCACAAAATAAATGACTTAGTATTGAGAGCCGGTATAACGACTGGCTATGGGCTGGACGACAGAGGGGTCGGAGTTCGAGTCTCAGTGAGGGCAAGAATTTTCTCTTCTCTACGTTGTCCACACCGGCTCTGGGACCCACCCAGCCTCCTATCCAATGGGTACCGATGGCTCTTTCCCCGGGGTTAAAGCGGCAGGGGCGTGAAAGCGACCACTCACCTCCAGCTAGTGCCGAGGTCAAGAAAATGTGGGTTTAAACATCCACTCCCTATATGCCTTCATGGCGTGGTGCTTAATTAGTTAAGCACAGGGACGGCTTTACCTTACCTTATTACTTAGGATTATTGAGATTGTTGAAAAAATTAACTCATTTTGGTTTGTGTTCCTCTTTTGTACTGCTCTTTTACTACATCTTGCCTCATTTCCCTCAAAATTTTGTAATATTAGTTGTATTGTGGGTTAGAGCCCACTAATTTGACGATAGAGTCGAAATTCTGTTTCACTTCTGAAAATTTGAACTTTGTACATGTTTCTTCTTTCTTGTTATCTTCCTCATCCTCTTCACTTAAACAGTCCTCTTCAGCTTGTTCAGTTTCTTCTTCGGCGAGATTTTGGTACCCGAAGTCCTCCTCATCCTTAGTCAGCCAGACACGAACATCGCTCGGGTGAGCTCCACGCGCTCCATGAACATCATCTTCTAAGCCTCCCAGATCATACTCCTGTTCTTCATTGCTAATGAGTTCGCTCCATGCGGTTTTTGTTTTAATTTCACACCAGCTGCTGACCCAGTTGTTAATTACACTTTTTGTGTTGTATTCTTTCAGTTTCGTTAGTGTTTTTTTGCCCCCCGCTGTCTTCTTTGATATCATCATCAAAAATCCCTTCATTTTCATCTTTAAGCAACACATAGTATTCATCCAGCTGTTTGCGCCTGTACAAGCGATTGTAGGTAAGAATTACCCCACCCAGCCTCGGCTGGATAAGGGAGGAAGTGATAAGGGAGGAAGTGTTTGGCGGGAGAAAAACACATTTAATTTTTTCCCATTCTTGCTTTTCAGCGAATCAGTTGAGGGCTGATCATGAGCGTTGTCCAGTAGTAGCAAGGCTTTCGTGCTTTTAGGTTCATGTTTAATTTCATATATCCGGTGTGTCTCAACCTCAAGTATAAAATGGTCTTGAAACCAGTCAGCAAATAATTCTTGTGTTGCCTATGCATTATTATTGAACATATAAATGGCATTTATGATGTGCCTCAATGGCCGTGGTTTAGCTGACCTAGATGATGAGATTCGTCTGCATTGGCACACAAAAATGCTGTTAAACGTTCTGTGTTTAGCTTCCTACCACGAACTGAACTGCCCTTTTTGCTGGCTTGAGTATTCCCTGGAACAGCCTTCAAAAGTAAGCCCGTCTCCGCCATCTTTGAGCCGATTGTCTAGAAAATGTCGGAGCCTCGGCGTCTCACAACCCTATGGGCCTTCACGGCCTGTTACAGGGATAACTTTACCTTTTTATTACGGAATCTAAAACGCTAACCTGTGCTAGCTTTGAAATCGGTCTCTCCAAGTCTCTGAGTAAGCCTCTCTACGGTAGCCTGCAACTTCATTCCTTTTACGAGGACGCCGGCCAAACGTTATTGCTTGTAGGACTGGTAAATAGCCTCACCAGTTTTATTCTGCTTTTGTCCAGTTGTCCTTTTCCGCTGTTTATCTTGTTCATTACATGGATCATCCTGTCTTACCACAAATTCCAATTTTCGTTTATGGTTTATTTAATATCATATAAGGTTGACCTACTTACACCATACTGATTCATTAGACTTTGAATAGAAGCATCATGATCAAATTTATGTAAAACTTCCATGTTTCTCGAAGGGTTAGAGACTTATGTTTCCCTTTATCACTCATTTTAACAGACGGAAAATACACTATTAAAACATTGAAAGGAAAATATAAAGTAGGCATAATAAAAGACTAACACCAACTGTTCATGTAAACATAGAAACTTTTAGGTTAGCTCTCCGCGTATCTGTTCTCTCCCGGCCGATTTTGTAGATCTAGAATGCTTTGACTTTAAATCTCTGTTAAAACGGCCTTGATGTTTGACGTCAGGTCTACATGCATTAATCATCACGTGGCAGTTTGAGATTGCTGATCGCGGCAATGTGATCATGAAGGTCGTTTTCCGAATTATCGGGAATTCCAAATTGGTGAGGTTTCACTGCATAGCTGCGGGTCCACGTAGCTACTTCTGTGTTTCTGTAGTGTTAAGAGCACATTTTTTGTTAACCGGTTTATGGAGACGTTAATCGTCAGAGACAATGGAAAATACTGTATTTGTGTTCCATTGAAACGTACTGTTCGTACATTCGCCAGAAAGCTAGAAGAATGTCGTGAAATACGTCTGACAGGCTATGGTCCGACATTGACGGTATCTGTCTTCATATCTCTGTGTTCACCGCTGCACTGGATATTACAGTCTGAATGCCGTGACTAGTCACTCTGTACACTGAAATCATAATGATGCTGCATAATTTTATGATAACACAGTGCGCCGATGGAGGGTTACACGCGCTTGTTGCAGGTGGTGCTAACTCTGCCGGTAGTTGTTGGTATATTAATCAAATTATTGTGATTTTGAACATCATCCATCGTCCTGTTTTTAATTTTAAAGCACAAGGATTCGGAGATTGGATTCTGTCTGTTTTCAGGTAAAAATCTACTTAGGCCCAATCGATAGAGCTAGTCCCTGTGTCCGGATCTATGGAGATAGGTACTAGATCTATCGATTGGGCCCAGCTGAGTAGGTTTCACCTGAAGACGGAAACAGAATCTAGTCTCCGAAACGTTGTTCTTAAATAAATATATAAAAAGAGATGATGGATAATGTTTTAAAACACAATAATTTTACTATGATTCTTCTTGGTTTTATCCAGGCACATCCCATGGATAGCACCTCCAATTAGGCTACTACTACTTCCTTCAACATCCGTTCCAATTCATTACTCCCTGATCATCCAATCACTCAACGTTATCGTAATATGAGCTTTCGATCTGCTTCCAATTAAACCGCAAATAAATTAATAATGCGGAAGTGACTGCAGAGAGAAAGTTGGTAATGTGCAATATTATCGTCAGAGTTGGCACCGATACAGGGTTGCCAACAGTCAGTGTTCCATACCGGTTTAATCCTGACGTAACCTGCGTCTGTAGACACAGTCACTGACCGTACAATTACTTTTCACACCGTCTCCTTGGCAGCGAAGGTTATCCGCGAGTTGCAGCGGTTTCCTCCCACTCACACTGCATTCATTTCTTTCCGTAAGGGAATGCGCGGGAGAGATCACAAGTAAAGGCAAGTTCAGTTTATCTGAACAATCATGTCTGCAGCCAGACTGAGGGCGTTTGAGGACACGGTACCGAGGAGAATATTGAGAGGTTGAAAAAAAAATTACATTATGAGTTTCGTAATTTGTATCTTTCACCTGATATAATTAGAACGATCAGGTCAAGGTGGATGAGATGGGCAGGGAATTTAGCACCATGAGGGAGAAGAGGAATACATTCAGGCTTTTGGTAAGAAATTCAAAAGGAAAGTAGGAAGACCTAGACGTACGTGGGACAATAATATTAAAATGGATCTTAGAGAAATAGGATAAGATGACTCAATTGATTTGTCTCAGGATACAGTAAAGGGGTCTTTTGAATAAGGAAATATACCTCCAAGTAACATAAAATGTTGGGAAATTCTTGAGTAGCTGAGAAACTGGAGACTTCTCAAGGACTGAACTGCATGGAGTTTAGTTTTATTTTAGTTATATTCATAACACTGAAAATATTAAATGTCTATGAAAACATTATTTATTTTATCTTGCTTGGCAATGGAGACAGTTGGTTCTTTCGAAACGTAGACCAAGACGTGTTATGCCAGAAGAAATCAATCTTCATAGTAACAGCCGCGAAACATGAAGTCTCTCAATCCACTTATCATTCGACGCTGTGTTGCCTCAGGAATTGGTTTAGTATCATTAAATGAACAAGTAAATAAATACAGTAAGGTTTACATCAGACACTGCTGTCCGAATGGAAAGGAATTCAAGAACTCGCGCCTTTTTCGTTCCGTTGCTTTGCTGAATTCCACGGCGGAACCTGAGTATTTATAATCCACTGCAGAGGAAAACACAAGGCTTGTAACATAATAGAGGAACATAAAAACAACCTGTTCAAATTAACGTCACTTGAAATGCCGATTGCCCTTGAAATGAAGGCTATGATCAGACGTGCAGAAATGTAACTCATTACTTCCTGCCTTACTTATTGCAAGCAGTTCAATACCAGCCCCACACCACCACGGATCCAGTGCATATGTGAATGCACAAACCATCTCCATGCGTCAAGAAAATGTGAACAGCACTGAGGAAAAAGCAGTGTCGGTTGGGTGAGCCACTTCTGCACTTGACTCTGGTTTCGTAATGGTAGAATAGAATAAAAAGATAAAAGAGATAACGTAAGAGGGGGCCGTTCTGAAAGGCTAATGATAACTGATCTATCATCTACAAGATAAGTAATACGAGGAAGGTAGAGAGTAGGGCACCGTTCAGAAATATGTTGTGAGGATGTCTTGTGTTCTGTCATAAGGATCTGCTTGACTGTAGTCAATGAACAAAAACTGCGAGGATCCAAAAACGTAAAAGGTAAAAGTAAAGTTGTCCATGTGCTTAAAAATTAAGCACTACGCCATGAAGGCTTATGGGGAAGTGGACGTATAGATCCACTAACAGATATATTGGGACCCAAAACAGGAGACTAAGCGGGTCGTAGAACAAATCGCCTAATGAGGAACTTCGTTGTACATGCCTATCAAATAACTTCGCCTGGTGCTTAAGGAGGACAAACTTAAGTTGAAGAAGTCAGGAGAGGCTTGACATGTCAGACTAACAAAATTGTGTGCTGGAATTGTCAGAATATAGCTCGAGGAAAGCGAATACTTTGAAGACCAAGAATACGATGGAAGGACAATGAATATTAGACAACACATCGCTATGGCGAACGCCTTCGGAAGGAATTCAATAGCGGCATCACGTGATGACAAACTTACGTGATGGCAGGCTTATATGACAGAAGACTCATGTGATAAAAGGATTACGTGATAATAGGCTCACATGATAGGAGGATTACGTGATATCGGCGTCCATACTTTCACCTTTAATACTGCAGCTAACACGTTATGTGTATCTAAGTAGCCATATAATCTATGTATGTCTGAATATAACATAATCAGTGCTCGAAGCGAACGCTGGGACAGGACGGTAATATTGTAGTTTCAAGCAGACCACGACCGATTCCATATAAATCACCTACTAATCATGCAAAATCATAATTCCATCTCATTCGATGCTCGGATGTCGGCCAAGATTACAGCTAGTGACTGAGGTTTTACGTCATCCTCAGTCAAACCTGGAAGGTTCTGGGACAGTATCACCGTTCTTTAACGCTATTTAAAGAACTTCGTTCAAATTTTTACGAGCATCACAACATATGCATGGACTGCCTTCGCTCGCTCGGAAGTCGGGATCGTGGGTTCGAATCCCACACAAGGCACATGCTTATTCTGCGTTTCTGTTGTCCTGTGTTTAGGTAGAGGCCTTGCGACGAGCTGATAACCCGTCCAAGGAGTCCTACCGTCTGTAAACATGAAACTGAGAAATCAGCCCAGTGCTCCAAAGTGGGAGCAAGAGGAGAGGAAAAAGAGAAATACAACCTGCGACATTAAAAATGCTGTCAAACAGATCGAGAAATTAATAAAATATAAACGTAAGTGGACTGGATCAAATTGGTTCCAGCTTGTGTTGAACATCAGAATTTCGTGTTAACAGTGTTGCATCTTATATAACTAGTCTGCTAATTAGTTAGTTGATTAATCTGACAGTTCGACAGCAGATGCGTCTTTGACAGCTACGTAACGTGTTCAAATGTTGGCTACTCTGACAAGCGTTCTTCTCCTACTCTCATGCCTGTTCAAACACATTCTCATGAGGTCTCTTCAAAGCGACCAGTTCTGCATCGTTACAGTCGTCCCTCTAATCCCAATGAAATGTCGTAAAAATTTTTTTCATGTTATCTGAGTATCTACAATTGAGAAGTAACAGCGCTCACAAAGACAATGAATTTAGATTAAACGTCAAAACGTTAGCATCCATTTTCCTGGACGTGTTTAACAACCACGGAGCGTACAACAGGATTTAAGCATCGAGCATGACGGGTTCCAGAGAACGTGTGGAGCGAAAAGAAGATCCATGAAACAGAATTCACTAAAAAGCACATGACTCGGAGTTGTATTACGGGATGGAAGTGTCTACATCGAATTACAGTTATGAAAACAGAACTACGGATTGGTCAGATACAAGAAAGATCGAGTTAGCTGAAATTAAGTGGCTAGATTTATCCTTTTACACTTCAAGATTTTAAAAATACGGGACCATTTAATTATCAGCAATTTGACTGAGGAAATAGAAAAACAAACTATTGATGGATTGTAGGATTTAGGGTCCTTACAGCGGTGGTTATAAAGAATTATATCTTCTGGGATATAAGGTCGTACAGCCCTGCGGAAAATCAGCAGACGTTTCGGAGGAACATGTAGCCTCCATTTGCAGTTTTCAAGAAAACGTCACTCAAGAAGCCAGCGTGAAACAGGTAAATCAGCAGACGTTTCATAGGAACATGTAGCCTCCATTTTCATGTTTCAAGAATAATGCACTCAAGAAGCCAGCGTGAAGCAGGTAAATCAGCAGACGTTTCGGAGGAACATGTAGCCTCAATTTGCATGTTTCAAGAATAAAGCACTCAAGAACCCAGCGTGAAGCAGGTATAAATCAGATGAACTCATTTTAAGAATAGATGAAAACAGAATAATGCCGTCTTATGAATGTGGCGCCGTGTAGATATTGTGTTAACCGACGTTTCGGAGCAACGTATCGCCTCCGTCTTCAGTGCAAAAATTCTGCGAGCGTTGAACCAGCGTGAGCAGGTGGCTGCATCCCAGAAGACGGCACTCTTCATAGTCACCGCCGTGAAAACCTCAAATCTTACATATGAAAATAGCTCCCCAAATACACAATTAAATTACAAATTGGAAATGAACATATAAAAGAAGATTCAAGACGAGATGACAAGGCCAGAGGGCCTAGCTCTTGAAGGAGAAGATGGTTATTGGAATTGAACCATAACAGTTGTCAGTAAAGTGACTGGTTCGATTTCAGCCGGGGGCACTAGATATTTCTTCTCCAGCGTCGGGTGCAGAACAGTTCTGGCACCCACCCAACCTCCTGTGCACTGGGTATTTAAGTGCTGACTCTTCATTCTTGGAAGTAAAGACAATGGGAACCACAAAGCTGACCACAAAACTCCATATACTGCTGAGGTTAAGATTATGTGGACATTTTTCCTCCACACCATAATGCCTCTATAGGACTGTGCTTGAGCATGACAATTTCTTCACTTTCATTGGTATATTACCAGTTAGATACTAACTAGTCTCACCCGTTTTCCTTGTTTTTTCCTCACATCTTCTAAGAAAATGTTGGGTCATTAAATGAAAATAGGTTTCGACCTTCATTTCTGTATATCCACTTCAAGTCGTGATATATGCTAACCTCGTCATTTCTCAAACGGCTCCGTGAAACCTGTGCAATTATTGGTCCCAGTGGGGCCTCTCCAATCCACTTTCTGGTAAAATGCAATTTGCACAGTGTCGTCATTTCTGGGACAACGCCTTGAAACAGAGCAAGGCCGCTTCCTTCTATATCCATTCCAATTGTTCATCAGCCCACAATTCGACGCTATATAACCTGTGCACTTGAACAAGCGTCATGAAAAAACCCAATAATCAACCAGTCAAATAAATCTTGAAACAATAATGAACTACACCGTTAGAACGTGATAAGGCAGGGGGTTGGATTATTTGTATGCGACTCACCTTAAACCGCATCTCCCCCAGGGGAGGTTTCGCATAAGGCACCCCTTGGAAGCCGACGAATTGTCGACCTTTCCTAGAAGTGAGGTAGAGCCCCCGCAGTGCGCCCTGCACTACAGTCACCTGCGGCAGGTCGTCATAGGAACGGACTCCCCCGCTCAGAGCTGCCAACACCACGAAAACACATGCCATCTGCATGCTGATGGCCAAGGTGCGACTACCAGCTCCAGCCAGGTGTCTCTCTCTATTTATAAAATCGGCAGTGCTCCTGACATTGGTTGCGCAATCTCTGGAGCCTGCAACTTTCACTTGCAGCTGCCGTCCGCTTTTTGATCCTTCACAGTTGAGAGGTAAGGACGTCAAGTGACTTGCAGATTGCCAGCGTCGTAATTGGGGAGTTCCGATCTCCAGTCTTGGTCCGGAGACGGGTTTTCCTATCTGGTGTCTCATGGTTTTCTTCAGTCTCTTCACACGAATGCATAGCCATTAGCAACTCACATCTGTCTTAAAATATGTAGGATTTGAGGTTATCACAGTAATGTTTATGAACACTTCTATCTCCTGGGATATATTGCCATGTAGTCCGTTGAAAGTAAATCGATGTTTCGGAGGAACATGTCGCCGCAATCTTTATAGAGTCGAAGAATAAGTCAACCAATGCTACCTGCTTCACGCTGTTTTTTTTTTGGCTTATTCTTTCATGCACAAAATGCAGACATGTTCCTCCGAAACGTCGGTTGATTTTCAACAGACTACACTGCATAATATCCCAGAAGATAGAACTCTTCTGTTTTAAAGTAAGTTTTGGCAGCTTTACAATTCACAGTTCGTCACCACCCTTAACTTCGAAGCTGTGTTGCCTATAGCGATGAAAGAAGGCGTCAAGAGTGAATCTTCAACAGTCTGCCAAAACATTACCTGTGGGCTGTAGGTGCTAGGGCATGGATTTACACGAGTACGCAATCTACGCTGTTTTCACTTCACCTAGCCATTAATTTCTCCGTCCGTGCTGGCATATTATCCCAAGTACTTGTTGCTTTCTGGAAGCCGGGATAGATCAGTCGATATAACAACGAGCTACGGGCTGGACGACCGGGGTTCGATTCTCGGCAGGGGCAAGAGAGTTCTTTTTCTCGGGCCCACCCATGGCCTATCCATGGAATACCGGGGATCTTTCCCCGAGGGCAACGCGGCCCAGGCGTGAAGGCGACTGCCTAGGTAAACACAGACTGAGCTATACCTTCAGTCCCCCTACGTCTTCATGGCATAGTAGCGGCAACTTTACCTCAACTTTTACTTCCTGCCACGATTTTCCTTCTGAGTCAGAGTCCACCTTGTACCTCGGCCACTATTTGACCAATTGTACCGGTCCCGGATGATAGATGAAGCTAAATGTGGAGCAGTCAGTGGAATGAGAATTGACAGGGGAAATGGAAGTACTCGGAGAAAATTTGCTCCAGTGCCACTTTGTTCACCACCAATTCCATGTGGCCTGACCTGATCAAACGCGGGCCACAGCGGTGGGAACCCGGTGACTAACAGCCTGAGCTATGGGTTGGTCTTCTAGTAGCTCAGAGTCTAGAATGAGAATATATTGGACAGCTCCACTGGAAACTTACCCGTCTTGTGCTGAATTCTAATTCCAGCATCCGTACAGCAAGGTTCAAAATACACATTCCAGTAGAACAGACCTATATGTGTTTTTTTTAAAATATCCTTGTAATGTTTGAAATTCTCACGGTGGTATCGAAATTACATTCTTGGATGTGACGCCGTGTATTTTGTACCAAACTACACGGCGTAAGATCCCAAAGTTTCAAAACTTTGTTTCCTTTCTAGTTTTACATTACACTCAAATTCTTGATGTTCATTTGTTTCAAGTACAAATCAGGAGCCGGGATAGATCAGTGGGTACAATGACAAGGCTACAGGCTGGACGGCCGAGGTGTAGGTTTGATTTCCGGTATGGACGAGATATTTTAATCTCCCCCTCAAGGTCCAGGCCTGCTCCGGGGCCTACCCAGCCTTCTATAAAGTGAATACCAGGATCTCATGAACAGTATCAAGACCTGGGGTTAAAAAACAGATGCCACACCAGGGCGTTTAAACCAGTGCAGATTCCTAATCAACTGATCCAGTCTATTATATGGTCAATGATCAGAGATTTTCGGGCAAATCACAGGTTCACGCCAATCGTAATCGAAAGAGTGTCTAGTAATGCCTTCCTTAATTGAATTTCAAATATAAGAGAATCATCAGATGATTAGAAGCAATTCCATTACACGCTAGGCTGAAAATGTGGGTAGACACGCGTACATTCTTCTTAGTTCCAGAGCACTTTTCAGCGGAGTCATTTACAGTGCTTTAAGACACTGGAAATGTCGATCTCAGCAGCTGCACGGGTAAGAAGGAATTCCTGAACCTGCGCTGTAATAATTTCCTTTACAATAATCTTTTGTCCTTCCGCAGGCTCTTCTATTCCAGTGGTTCTCAACCTCTGTGAGACCGCGGCCCGGTAAATCCTTTATTTATAAGACAAGGGTCCGATGTAGTTAATGCCAGGGACCAGTACCAAGCCGGAGTGGAGTAGTGGAGAGTCGACACACAGCTTCATGTTCTAAGCCTTCCTCTGCCGCCGGTAGAGAGCGGAGGACTACGAAACGAACAGGTATCGTGGGGGATGCTTGCCGGCCCAACCGGTTCGTGGTAGCGTGGTCAGATAACAACAAAACCGATGCCGACCAGTAGGAGCCAAGATCTCTCAGTCTACTACGAACAAGTGCAGTGCTGCGTCATAATGTGTTCAAGTGATTTATCGCTGTTGCTTGTGAGTTGGTGCTACGTGGCGTGTAACTGAACTGCTGTACTTCGTAACGGACAGTACACAGAAAATTCTTACTGACTCTTAAAAGCGAACTTAAATGAAATTTTCAATCTTCCATATGGGTACCTGAGTTCAAGTGAATTTAGTGTGTGTCTGCTACCGGAACTATGCCGGAAGTGGCAGTGTTGATGGATGTAAAGTTAGTACACATTTAAAAGAATCTTTCAACGTGTAAGGAATGGCGCTGATACTCGTGTAGAAATACATGTTACCCGGGACTCATGCCTTCGATTTCCCACTAAACCGCCTATCTCGGAAAAAGACACATTTCTAGAAATTTGATATTCGGATATAGTAATTACGTATTTACATTATTTGCATCATTTACACAGTACGTTGAGGTTGTTTGGGGAATTGACCGCTGTTTACATCGATAATCAAAGGGAACCTGTAAATCCACTTTACATGTGACACGTCAAGTTAGTGACTGTAAAGGCAGACTGAATTTACCGTTGCTATATGAAAGGTTAAATTACGTCGCGTGTCGGCGAGAGGGAATCCTACAATCGTATGATGCGTGTTCCAGTGAGTTTGCACACGTTTCGTTTAAATGTGTTACTGGTGTTCGAGTTAATGAAATTACACGACCCAAGTGTTCGAGCAGCCAGTCATGTGCACAACAGTGTAACATGTACGATTTCAGGTTTATACACGGCGTTGACTCTGAAGGTTACTATCTCCTGGGATGTGACGTCGTGTAGTCTGGTATACAGTTTCACAAACGCTCCGGAAGAACGTGATATCCCAGATTACAGAGAGTTGCATCCCAGAAGACAATATTCTTCAACGTGATGTGTGTTCAGTTTAGTTTCTGCAGTGTCACGAATACACTACGCAGACTGAGGATGTGCTTTCAAGTGGTTGTAATAACTAAACATGAATATATTGCTTGAAAGCTGAAGCGAATATTACAACAGCGAGTCATGTGCGCTCAAGCGAAGAAACCAACAACAAGTGGCATGCTACAGTGGCGCTTCATGTGCCGTCGTCATGAGTTTTAAACATGTACGTATTATTTTAATAGTGCAGTGTGATGTACTGAGTTCCCCAACCACAAGCTAGCTTCTGCTTTGCTCTGTAATTCCTCTGGAACGTGTCTGGGGTTTACAACTTCAGAGCTTACGGTTCATGTGTAATTTGGGTTGTATGACAAGGCACAGTGGATAGACGTCTGGATGACCTCGAATTTTCCACAGTATTCTACCGTACCGTTATTGTTTACTGCTCATCCATTGAAAAGGTAAAGTTGTCCCTGTGCTTAACTAATTAAGCACTACGCCATGAAGGTGTATGGGGGAGTGGATGTATAGATCCACATTTTCTTGACCTCGGTACTAGCTGGAGGTGAGTGGTCAGCTTCACGCCCCTGCCGCTTTAACCCCGGGGAAACAGGCCCCAGTACCCATTGGATAGGAGGCTGGGTGGACCCCAGAGCTAGTCTGGATAACACGAGGGGGAGAAAATTCTGACCCTACCGGGACTCGAACCCCGATCCCTCGGTCGTCCAGCCCGTAGTCAGTCGCTATACCGACCACGCTATCCCGGCTCACGTTGCTCGTCCATTGTTAAAATGAATCTGGTTGGGGAAGATCAACTAATCACCAACAACAAAGTTGTCCCAGTTGTTAGTTAAGTAAGCACTATGCCATGAAGGTGTATGGGGTGTGGATGTATAGATCCATGTATTCTTGAGCTCGACATTAGTTGGAGGTGAATGGTTAGCTTCACGGCCTGGCCGCTTTGCCTTTGGGAAACAGCCTCCGGAATTTATTGGATAAGAGGCTGGGTGGGCCCCGGAAGCGGTCTGGACGACGTGAAGAGGAGAAAAATCTTACCTCTAGAGGGACTCGAATTCCGTCCCTTCGGCCGGCCAGCCCATAACCAGTCGCTATAGCGATTGCACTGTCCAGAATTTCGCAATATTAAGGATAAATGAAATAATAACATTGGAAAATTTTAATTTTTAAAGTAACACCATACAGCATTTCTAAGAATAGATTTTAACCAGTAAAACTACCGCAAGAGAGAAAAGGTTAAGACAGTCACACTGTTTGTGCATGGGGCGTAATATTTATTATGCAGTGAAGGTAATACTTAGTGCTCATGATAATTCCGCAATGCCATTATGATAATTCCGAATAAGACAAAATAAATCACCCGTGAATGTAATTTTTATTCATCCAACCCAAGAAATTTAGTAATTTCTCTTCATACTCTATGCTTCATAGTGATCGCTGTGTCTACTCAGAATGTTAAAAAGGGTGCATGTTGGTAAAAAATTCGTTACTGAATTCAGTCAAGGATGTAAATTATAACAGATCAAGGTACATAAACACATTTCCCGTACCATTTTAAAAATGCAAAAAAAAAAAA